GATTGTCTTATGTTGTTTTGTGTCTTACATAAAATAACTGCTTCTCCTACAGCACTCATGCATTGGTAACGGTTGTTGAAAGTAATGCTTCCCTCTCGGCTCTCCAGTGGAGCGGGTGGAGTCCTTAAGGGTTGGTGCCTCTCTCATGTGTGAGTATTCGAGTCATATGGTGGAGCTTTGTATTGTCTACTTGAGTTACTGAGAGTTGGCTTTAATTGAAAGAACGCAACTGATGTTGAGACCAATTAGGGTTTCTAATCATCTTCCACTACAATGGCACTGAAGACAGATATAACTAGTATTTATTGCTCCTGTCCTTACAGTCTGGTCAGAGGATTAACCTTATGACCCTTATTAAAAAGGACTATCAATGATACTACAGAAACATGACAATGATACTGTGCTGTTGTGAACTCGCTTTCAGCAAAGCACTCTCTTAAAGCATTATTAAGGACATTGTTTGGGAGTATCAACCTCCTTTTTTCTAGAAATGTCATTCAAACAAATCAAGTATAAAGTTATGAAGCAAATTGTTTTCACAGACAGTTACAGTGACCTGACATGTGGTCGTTAATCTAGCAATTGCTGCCAGTTTCTGCTTTGTTTCCATCCCAGCATCCCTCTCACTGCTTCCCTGAATGAAAGGTTTAAGGGGACCTACTCTGAATCACAATCACTTCATTTACCCAGTAAACGAAATAGATAGACAACTGCGTCAGGGGCAAAAGGTGCAGATACTTGGGACAAACTCGCAATTGCACAGGAGTACTGACACGTATGAAGCAAGGAGAACAGGACATTCTCTAATGAGGAAACGGGAACTCCAGCACATGCCTGCCAGCAGCAGCACAGGTTTGGGTCTTGACCCCAACGTCTCCTGAAGCTCTAACTTAAATAGAAAGCACGTCAGAGAAAAACAACCGTAAATAACTCTGTTCTCCAGGGAGATATGTTCTGATACAGCAGAGGTCAAAGAATACAGATGGCTTGATAAAGGTCCTCTTAACTCTGACTAAGAGGGCCAGAATAGTTCATGTGTATTCAATTCAATTCAGTGAATCAGAAACATGCTGCTGCTGCCTCTGTATCTGACTCAGTCTCGTTTTTCATTCAGAAAAAACGAATCCGAGGCCTGCCCAGTCGCTTTGATAGAAAAAAGCTTATTTGCTGTTTGCTGTTTGCTTTCCCCCCCCACCCCCCCATCCCCCCATATCCCCCATCAAAACACAAACATTTGTTTTTCTGTCTGGAGAAATGTCAGGGGGATTAATGTGGTCCCTGTTTTGTGTCGGTGGCCTATTTAATGCTTCAGTGCACACCCCTCACTACCTGGAAATAAAAAGCACAGCGTTTTATGTTCACCGTCAATCTAACTAAACAGAAATCACACATTCACATCCTCTGATCGTGCTTCTAAGGAAATGCATTTCTAGGTATTGATTAGAAGTATATTTCAGATCCTTCAGACCCTAAATCAAAACCACTGTTGAACAAAAGTTAGAAAAATAGTTAGTACTTCTTAGTGCCATGTAGACATGTCTTCCATTAACTATTACTCATACTAACTATTTTCAAATCAGCATAGCCCTTTATCATAAGCTCAATTAAATAGCACTCAATATGTGCACATAGAATGAGTCCTGATTATTTAATGAGGCAGAGATCTAGCTCATGGACATTAACACAGAGATGGACATGTAAATAAACCCTTAGCCTCGTTACAAAACTGTATTTAAGTGTACCCGGACTACTTTTAGCCTTTTTTCTCAGAATCCAGAGTATTAGTGCTCTGTGACATCTGCCTGCTGGATTCTCCCTGTTTTCCCCTCATCTCCACTTTCACATGTGCTAAGCTAAAGAAACACCCAGTCACCTTTGTCATCTCGGTTTTAGGTTATTGGGAATAAATCATGTGAGATAAAGGTAAGGTATGAAAGAAAATAGTGCTTTTACTGAGGGTAAACATTAGTGTGATGTTTGATTTGATAAAGCCAACAAATACAAATCATCGTCCATCTTTTACTGAGACTCTAAACTCCGTATAAAGCACACTACAGGAAATAGGAAATCCCAAAAAGCATCATAGGGCCCCTTTAACTTGTTCTCTGTTTCGCCCCAGATACACACTGTACTGTAGCACGGCTGATTTAACAATCTAGGTTTCGTTAAGCAGCCACAGCTCGGAGATGACTCACGTTATTGCATCGCTTCAGGCTATGTGGCAGAACCCTGACATTTCAAAACACGACATTATCACTGCAAACACAAGACATGAGGGTTATTAAGAGCAATTTAAGTATAGAATGGGATTTAATTATCATGGAGAAAAGAGTAATTAGCTAAAGTAGAAGTTCAGATGTTTGAACAAGATGATTATAAAGAATCACGAATGTTCGTATTGGAAGAAAAATATGTTATGACATTTGCACTAAAAGCCTGTGGACAAGTCAGCAGAAAGTAATTCACATTTTTACTTTCATTCAACTCATTATACCTCAAGCGAAAGTGCGTCAAAGAAAGAAACCACAGCAACAGCATGTAGCTCACTCCGGTGACTCGTGATTTCTATTACAAACAACTTTGGCCTTTTCGGCACTTCAATAACAAGAGTGCGAGTGATAGGTGTCTAAGTGAAAAGCTAAAAGCCTGTTCATATGCTGTGTGAAAACAGTTAAGCTAAGTTAAGTAAATAACTGGGCCAAATGGTGAATTCAAAACAAATTCACTTAAAATGCCTTGTTGAGAAACTCCCTATGGAGGTAACTTTAGGATTGTAGCCTTTGCAGACCATTGACATGCACAGAAACCGAAATAATACACTACAGGAAAGAGAAAACCCCAAAAAAGGCCTCTTTAAAATGTGATAGTGGAGAATAAAATCCAACAGCGTGCAAAAAAAAGTACAAATTATCTTCATTGGTTGAACGAATATTCTTTTATCCATCTAACAGATATAACACCATCTGGTATCTGCAAATGGAGCCTTGAGGAAACTTTTGAATGAGGTGATTTATATCTAAAAGCAATCCACTGAACACCTTTGATTTTCAGTAGATGTGAAATTGCATGACCAGAGTTTAAGTTTCTCTGATCACAAGTCCGCTGGAGAGGGCGACTCAAGGACACGTCTGTGTTGTGCAGACTCCCTTATACCTCTCACTCAAATGCACCCAATTTCCACAGATGTAGAAGCATGCCATTGGTTAATTTAGGCGGGCTTTCAATGGTTCAGGGCACCTTGCCACTGCCATTACTCGTCTGCGTAAAGGAGATTTGCTTCGACCCTCAGCTGAAGTCTGGGATGATGTCAGGGCTATTACTCTGAAAAAATTGTTTATGGTTAACATGGCGGTAAGGCTGACATTTGATGTCACCTCGACATTTTAATTAACACTCAGTCCTTCCCTTTCTCTTTGGTCGAGCTCACAGTCATCCATTTTTTAAACAAAATGATGTTTACAAAATGGATGAATTCAAGGTCTCAAGAGTTAATGCTTTATATTCAAAGGCTAAACAAAGCAAGCCAATCCAAACATGAACTAAGCCAAAGACTTTGTTCGATGTTGGACGAGAGATATTTCAGCTTTTGACAGTTCCTCGGTTGGCAGTCGATGGGAGGATGCAGTATCTCTGAGGAGCGATTGCTCTGACACCATTTCTCTCCCAGGCAGTTTTAGGGAGTAATTCATTGAAATGGTTTGAATGAAAAGCCGCAAGGAAGAACAGGTCCGACCATGAGTATGAGCCGGGGAAAGATTGTATTTAAAGAAGGGAAATGGGAATAAAAGAAGCCGTTAAAAGTTGCTGTAGGTTTGAGTTGTAAATAGAGACGGCAGTAGAAACAGATTGCTTTTTCTGTTTGTTGGATTTTTTTATATTTTTCAAGATGTCAGGGACTTTGGGGTGAAACATGTGAACTGGGTGACAGCCTGAACAGCAAAACAGCTTTTCATGGGTGTATTTTCACATTATTTCTCAATGATAATGGAGAAAATAATGCACATTAATGGTGTGAGAGCTTTAAGGTGAACTGTAAAAGGGACTTTACAGGAAATGATAGATACTGAGTGCTGGTTGGATGAATTATACAAAATGACTGTGATGTGGTACCTCCTCATCCTCCCTCTGTCTCCTCACACACACACACATCCTCTCACACACTTTCCTGTTACTATTATTACACTGTCTATTACTAATTCAATCCATATCATTGCTGTGGCTTTAATTAAATATGTATTTATAATGTTAATTCCCTGTGTATTTTAGGTCTCAACCTGTACTAATGTGTCAAAATGTGATTACGTTTATAATAGAATTCCTTTTCTCGATGGATTTAAATTTGTAAGCTTCTGTGAAAGTGAGTTTTGTCCTTTAAACCCGCCCTCTACTGTCAGTGCGCTCCCATGGTGAAGTACTTTGGCTATAGGCGTTAGTATCTGTGTGGATCCAACCCCATGTCTGAACAATGTGACCTTTTATAGTAAAAAAGCGTGTGAAATGTGGCTCTGGTAAAGGGGTGTTCAAATAAGCAATGTTCCTTTACTGTATTTGTCTAAAGCACTAAGTACACACACTCACTGGAGGACAAATGCATGTCAAATAAAGTGTAAAATCACAGAGTTAGAGCTCCCTCTAGCGGACAGTAGACACACTGGACTCATCAAAGGGAGTAAACAGTATGTCAGCACTTTTCATAATTAGATTCTGACCTGAGCAGCTTTCTTTTTACCGCCACATAAATATGAACTTTTAAATGATAACGCTGATAAATGTAGAAACAATGCCAAGTCCTTGACTGGTGACAAATCAGCGAGTGGTTACACAAATTAGAGCTGAATACAAATCAATATTAAGACCCAGTGTTTATTTTGGAACCCAGAGGACAACAATTAGTCTTGGAAACGATAAAACATTCTTGAAAACCATAATGTCAAAGCAGTGGAAAGCATGTTAAGGTTCTTCAATGCTAATCAATAAAAGTCTCACTCAGATGTGTTGTTCTCCAATATGATAGTTTATCATTAATAAGCATGGGACATACAGTACAACACCATGAACTACTGTACAGCGAAGAAATGTACTTTTTAACTGAATGCAGTAATGTGATGCAGCGTGTTAGATATACTGTAGCTGTGCTTATATATGGAGGTGTGTGGGTGTAGGGATAACGAATTCCCAGGCTTTTGTAAAAGCACAGGAGGAGAGCTTACTGGACATTTTGAGTAGGTGGGAGAGAGGTTTAAGCGTGGGTGAGAGTAACCAGGTTTTATTTAACAGAAGTGGCAGGGGAAACAGTGTAGAGTCTCCTATAGGCAAGGTAAGTTATACAATACATGTGATAGTGTTTATTTGACTATATGCATTTGGAGGTGAGCCTATTCTCAGTGCTCCCCTGGTGGAGTTGTATCAGTGACTTCAAGTAGCTTCAGCCGGCTCATCACTCTTCCTCCCATCCGGTTGAACTGAGAGCTGTGGGTCGCCTCCGTCTGAATCTCCCTCTGGTGCCTTGTGACAGAGACATTTCACTTTAGTGTAGAAGAGCTGAGGAAGGAGAACTGGTTGAAAGGAACGATTGGTAAACTCGAGCCAGATCCAGCATTCACCATAATGAGGCATTCAAATGTAAGAACATTTAAGAAAATCTACATTTCTGTTTCAAATGGAACTAATCCTAGCACAATGGTGGATACATTTGTCAAAATAGGCAAGAAATGCCCTTAAAATGTTATGTATTATATCCCTAGAGGAAGCGAGCGAATAAACTAAATCTGATCAATTATTTTCTGAGATCAAAATTGTTTTCTCTTCTGTGTTGTGCTGAAACGACCAGGATAATATTTATTGTTTCCTGTAGACCCAACCATCTTTAAACTCCAAACATGATAAGATGAATTAACATGTTTACAGCCTGATACAGAAATATTTTGGTCTCTTCATAACCATATTAAGCCTTGAGCATAATTAGGGGCTAATTCAGTAAATGTATCAGCAGATTATTTTCCTCCCTTGCCTCCCAGGTCTTCTCTCTAAGTGTGATTGCATGAGTAATCTCTTTCTCTGTAACGCACACATCGTCCCTGTAGACTCACCTGGCTGCTGTGCCTTTACTGAGGTTGCTATTGGAGACCAGAGCTTGCTCCGACAAGAACTGCGCTCTGATTATCTCCGTTGTTAGCTGGACGCCTTCACACCTGAGCAGGGATGAAAAAAAAAAAAAAAAGCACAGAATCTGAGCATGAAAGCAGCCATCTTGACCAGAAAAAGCTTCCATCAAGGAGATCAATAGGTGTCAATAGTGTATGTACTTACGGCGGGTCCATTAGTGGAGGCAGATCATCAGGAGGGCCGCGGAGAGGAGGTGTTTTGAGGGGAAGTGTATCTGTGCTGTAGTCCACAGACCTACAGAGGACACACACATTGCGTTTCCCCTGAAGAGCCAGACCACATATTACCGAATCGAGATAATGGTCAGATATCTACTCCATCTTACTGAGATGAAAGCACTGCTTCGGGTTGTTTGAAATCGCAGATTGAACAGGAATGATAAAAGATCTCCCGAGTGAAAGTTGATGCCTCTTACGGGCAGAAAACAGAATTAAAACCCTGACAAGCCACAGGTTTGCTTTTGGACGCGCCGCCGGGCTTTCAGCACAAACGTCATTATGTGAGGGCATGTGAACACAGTTTGGAGTTGAAGGTGGACGGAGACATTTTGAGACATTATTAAACAACCACTGCTGCCAAGTTAAACTGCTTTAACTTGCCAGCAGTGGTTGAAAGTAACCAAGTACAATTACTTAAGTACTGTTACCATTTTGAAGTACTTAAGTAAGTTACTCCACAGATTCAGATAATTCATTTAGTAGTATTTCTTCTTCCATGAGTCATTTTTAAACCTGCAGAAACTGATTTGTTTGACCACTTTGAGGCCGGGGAAGTAGGTTTTGAACCGAGTCTTGCTGATAAATATGCAGACTGCATGTACCCAGAAAGTTATAGTTTTAAAGTGTGCTTGAGGTACAGCAGAATCCTTTGAATTATTCACACATTTGTAAGAGACATACTCTCATTTCTATTACAGCCTCCTGGCTTAAATCGTATTGTTTGTGTTTGTTGGATAACGGGACAGACTGTTAGCAACCGCAGACTCAGAGATAGAAAATTGATAAGGTTGAGAAAGGAGGCTTAGGGGGGATCATCTTTCGTATAATGAAAGAAGAATATATCTAGAGTTTTACTGCGGATCAGCACCGACAGGCAGAAAGAGAATACTTATGTTTGCCAAGAAACAGATTTTGCAACACAACGAAGGTGAGTAAAAAAGGAAGCAGACAGAAAAGTCAGATCCAACCCCACGCTTTCACAAGAACATCATGTGAACAGCGTCTGCCCAAATTACTTAGGCGTCTTGTCAAATAAAGACTTGAAGTGTTTCACAACTTGCAAGAAACATTAGCTCTGCAACGCTGGATCTCTATCATGCAAGAGAAATTGCAATGTACATGACAATATTTCCTGGAAAAGGGTCAGAGACAGGGTTTTGCATAGCTGAGTGCTACTTGATGTGACAGAGTGCGAAGAGAAGCATACAGGAGGCCACACGGGACAATACCATGCAGCATTCACTAATACTTCAAAATCTCTTCATTTATTTACCGTCCATTTAGGTTAACGACTGAATAAGTCATCATCTTAGTGTGAAGACAGTCTGCCTACATATGACCTAGATTCTGTAAGCATTTCACTGTAGGTGTTCAACAGTACTGCCGGCAAGAAGGCAAGGAGAGAGTTTATAACACAAGGTTTTAATTCTTAATTAAGTAGAACTGATCACCGCAGTAGAGACAACGCACATGGCTTCAATCCAAAACTACTGAAATGTGGACATTGGCAATCAAGGTAGAATGTGTTGGTGTGTTTCTATAAAATCAGAGAGTCGAGTGAGAAAATAACTTCAACACTCAAGAGATTTCTACAACTGTATGGGATATTTCACAAAAGGAGAACTAAAGAGCAAATTAAGATATATTTTAAGTAAAGAAATCTATGTCAAATCAGAACCAATGCTTGAAATGCAAAACGATAACTGCCATGAGGGCAAAATACTACAAGACTGCAGGAAGTCATCTCTACGTAATACTGCGTGATGAATGGCATGCCAACACATTAAATATTAATACACAAGCCTCTTGGCAATTTGTCAGGATAAATATTTACACTATGAATATAAACGTCTACTACAGTATAAGTGACCACTTAAACCAGCAACATGATCCTATATCTTACAAATCATTCACATGTAAGCGACTTGTAAAAGGTCTCAGAAGATCTACAGATATGGATCAAGAGATCATTTATTGATGGACTGGATGCAACAGGAAAGAAACAGGGATCTATGAGCTCACTTAGCATTCAATTCAAACTCTTTTAAAGGAATTTCAAGGACCAATTCCCTCAAATGTTAAGACCCAACACCGCAAATTCTGCGTCCATATCAAGGTTGATTATTAATGTTACACCACTGAGTATTTATGACAACTAGCAGGATTCACAGAAGCTCACTTGAATCAATCCCTCATGAATGCACATAGACTTTCTCCTCGAGTGTAAAACAATGACGCAACTGCAGGTGCTTTAAAATCAGCGAGATGCACCCTGCCCACTTGTTGTAATATATTCTGCATACAAATGTCACTTCAGACCATGTTAAAGCTGGAGGAGCTTCAGTACAGTGAAGTTATGCGACCACAAGGTCATGAGTTCAAATTCTTTCACGGACTGAAAAGATATGTACAGCAGAAGTGAAACACAGCCCCTCTCTACTCTGTAAACAAGTTATGTAAACATGTACTAGGACTTTTTCATCCCACAATTGTCTTAGAGCTTCTCAAGTTTATGTGGGAAGTACCTCGTGGTGAGTTCTGGGTGGTTCTGTGAGTATGAAGAGAAACAAGAGAATAAGTTCCGTCCTACCTGCGATGGGCGAAGTCACTGCTGGGAGACAGAAACTTTGAGGTGATCGAATCGAAATCGTTCCATGTCATGTAGCCAGCGATCCCTTCCTGTTGTGGGTAAGAGATAACAAAAAAAACAGCCACATTAGGATCAGTTAAATAAGATTTAAAACAGATGAACTAGAGATGGATCTAATGTCCTGTTTTCTTTCATTTCTGGTTTGAGGTTTTTGAATGAAATTAAATGTTCTTCAACTGTCTTTAAGACACATATCTCGTTAGTGAATTCCTCCCTTAATGTGTGACAGTTTCTTGACAGCAGCTAAAGTGTTAGCTAAAGTCTCTGAAAAAAATTACCTTGCGGTCCAGATGCTTCTTCTGAGTGTTTGGGGTTTGAGTCCCTCTGCCACACCTGCTGCTCTCAGGGATGGGATACCTCAACACAGAAAGCACTTTCTGAGTGAGTGTGTACAATCTATAGCTAAATGTCAGCACAAAGAACACCTACTTACTTTAACTCACTAGGATAAAACCGTACACATGTATCTACTGAGTGTTACCTGGGCAGAGGGCAGAGGTGGAACTCCAGGTCAGTCTCCAGATATTTGGGGGTGGGTTTGTACGCCTGCAGGCCTGGAGCTGGGTTCTAAAACACAAACCACATTAAGTATTAATATCCTATTTCAGTCTCTGGGTTAAACACACAATATGTAAGTATTTGACTAGGGGTCTCTTAACCAGAAGAACTGTAAATTGTACACAACAGAAAGAGGGGCCATTTCATTTTTAGATATGGTCTTACAAAGATTCTGAGTGGGTTTGCTGGAAAAGGTGTGAGCAGAGCTTCAGGGGCGCTGAAGGAGAAACAGACAGCCTCCTCCTCTGCCTCATCCTTCTGCTGATCCCCCCATGCCTCCACAGCGCCAGACTCATTCGGCACCGGCTCTTTCTAGGTAGATGAGTAAAGAAATAAATCAATCTTTCTCTAATATGGTGGAATCTGCATGTTTTGGTCCAGGTGCTGCAGATTTACCGCAGCTCCAGTGCGAAGTGGTCTGGCCAGAGAGGTTGGGATGTACGAGTTAAACGCGTCCCAGGCTGACACAGGTCGGTAGCCCATGAGCTTATAGTGCTGTGGAACCTGTAGAAACAAACAAAACCAAAACAATAATATGGTTGATAATAATCAGGGTTTTTGTATTAAAACAGTGCAATCAAAGTGTACTGAAATACAGGTATTTAGGTAGTTCCCCCCCCCAGCTGCTGCTGGGTACATATCTGCAGTAAACACCCACTTGAAGCTTGAAGAAAGGAACATGTGTCGTCACAGTCACATCGATGGGATCCACGGGCACTTCGACCAGATTACTGCGAGCCTGGAAACATCAAGGAGACAAATGGCATTATTTGTTATTAGATTGAACACTGAGGCCTTATCTCCCAGGGGCATCGGGGAAATTAGAGACTTTATCAAAAGTGCGGGAAACTGAGCTTCCTTTCCGATTCCACATCGAGATCAAAGACATCTTTCAAGGGAAATAATGAATGAAAATGGTTTCTTGTGCAGGACGATTGCCAGACCGCACATGTTAGACGCTTCTATCCAAAGCGGCTTACATACTCAATACTGTGGACAAACCTCACAGGAGCAATTTGGGGTGAAGTGTCTCAGGGACACAACGACATGCTGACTGCAGTGGGGTTTGAACCTGTGCCCCCCTGATCCGAACACCAACGCACTAAACCACTATGCCACGCACTTTTCAGGGAGTCTCATTCTTCCATATGTCAGAACCCATTAAGGTAATTTGGTATTTTATTTCAATAGCTTTAACAAGACAGAGCGATTTGCAAAGAAGTGGTTTAAGCTTTTGTTTTGACAGGCCGCGACATTGATTGTTAAGTATATTTTAAACAGAACTAACAGACTGTAATCTGCAGGATGGACGTAATTGTTTTATAGATTTCAGATATATAATGAACTCACCAATGCAGAGAAAACGGGGAAAGAAAATGGAAAGATCCGGTCGGGTGAGATCTTCAGATCAAATGTCCTGTCCTCCTCGACTGAAAAAAACAAACAGGTCGTAATTGAATTGTTCTGATCGTTATGGTCAGTGACAAATGTAATGTAAATGTCCTCAGCACCATAAATAGCCCCGTCTCTTTGGCCCTGCGTGTTCTAAAAAGCTCATAATAACCAGAGGAGATCTCCATTTTTCCTGCAGGAATGAATTCAATTAAGCAATGCTTTTGTGACATGGCTTAATGAGATTACTTCTGAATGAGGAGATTAGAGGATAATCAAAACCTTTCTTTGCCAAGGGCGAGTTCTTCATCGTTCTGCAGAGTTCCTTCAAACAGGTCAGTCTCCGGTCCATGCGGCATCGAATCACCGTCTGAAAGGTAGAGAAGAGTTCAGGGTGTTATTGCTTTAAATAAGTATAATAAATCAAACTCAGTGACACACATAAACAACAAGAGGACAGTGAACCCTTGTTGCCCTAATAAAATGCAAAGAAGAAACACAAAATTAGCAAAAACTAACTTCTCCACGATAAAAAAAAGACCTTTAATTGTATGCTTGTCCTGTGACTTTAAGAGGCCATGTCAGATGATTCTGCTTTCACTGGAAGGCACTTTATGTTCCCAGGAAAGTTGACTTTAATAATATTATGCATTTAGTGGGAGGAATTTACACATGGTTGACCTAAAGGGACAGGGGTGCAGGGACAGCAGCCTCCTCCTGAGGGAAGAGGGAAGTGTGTTGGCGTGTGACGGGTCTGTGCATTAAAGCCAATGAATATGCATGTAAGCATTTTACACATGAGCTGGGATGTGAGTGCACCTTGCGGGCTGCCTGCTGGAAAAGACTGAGGGCTCGTCTCCTCAGATCCCACTGAAAGCTGCAGAAGAACTGGAAGGACGGGGCTCCCTCGCTGGCCTGGAGAGGGTACACACACATTTATTGACTTTCATTTGGCATTTACATAGAGTACATATAAAAAGGGAAGTTCCATGAGGTCTCAGTGGTTAACGAGAAGGTCAGATTTACAGTATCAGGGTATATGCAGGAATCCTGAAGTCACATGTAATTCCTTTTAAGACCTTTTTTAAGACCCGTTCCATACATTTTAAGACCTCATCGCCACTTTGAGTTCTAACCGGTTACATTGGCGACACACTTTACCTCACATTGACTATATTCAGTATTGATTGTCCTTCCTCCTTATCTTCCAACCATTCGGACGCAAACTTGCATTTCCCCATAACGATGTTGTTTAACAACCGGAGTAAACGGACCTTCGCGCGCTATCAAGCAGTGAGCGCGCGATGTCCTGTTCAGATGACGTCAAACCCAACGGGATGCCATCAATAAACTACACAGAATCACACTACACACCTACGCAATGATTACATTCAGGCAGACTGTAGAATACCTCTTTGGACAATTTATATACTTATTGAAAACAAGCTACTAAATGTAAAACCTTGAAAAATGCAGTTTAATACTTTTTAATAGCCTTCATTTTCGCTAAATTGATTTATCAACTTTTAATACTTTTTAAGACCCCGTGGACACCCTGAGTATTTATATGGTGGCTCCACGATGATATTGGCACAACATTGTCTATAAAATGAAATGCTGGCATCGTAAATCAACATTCCTCCCATAACAGGCCGATAAAATGGATGATGCATGAACTGTTTTTTGTAGCAGGATAAAAAAACAAATATTTAAATGTCTGAGTTACAGAAACATCAAAGTGTGTTGAAGTAGGATTGACTATTGTACTTTATTGTGCAAATAAATATAGCATGTTCTTCATGTAAGCTCAATTGAAGTGGTTTTCCTATGATATGAATTACATGTGTTATGACTCAGGAGAGCTGTATCAAGCTAAGTTTCAGATTTTGACAGAAGTTACAATAATAGTGTATTTAGATGTGTTACATTTCAAGACATCCATCATCCCCCCCAGGGTTTGTCATAGAGAAATGAATGCTGTCACAGGGCTCACTCATGATGGAGGGCTGTCAACGTGAAATGAGTGATCGTTAATCTAGTGATGATAGAAAGATCTATTTTAAAACAGCTCGAGTCCCACTGTATCAGAAGAGTGAAATATGTGAGTGATACAGAGCAGAGGTTCACCTGTCCTGCTGCACAGAGCAGTCGTCTGGAGGAGAGTTCAGGTCGTCCAGCAGCGAAGCCTTCCTCCTGCCTCTCATCTCCCCTTTTCACCTGCAACAAATCAGTTATGATGCTGAAGGTCTGGAAAGGAATTGGCAAGAAATCTGTAAATAGAACATGTTGGTTTAAAAAGCATGAAGTATATTTATATTTTTGCTCTGGCGATGACCGATGCTGCGAAGCCGACGGAAAAATAACATTTCAACATGTTTCATCTCCTTTGTCTGCAGACGCAACAGTGTCTTTGTCACAGGAAGAAATACACTTGATGGGGTTTGTCTGAAATCTTAATTATCTACAAAAGTAACCATGACAACTAATCCTGTGGAGCATGGTCTCTTTTATTTTAAGACCATTTTATGCCATGATATAATGATAATATAATAAATAAAGTACACCATTAATTGTGTTCAGACATAAGAATAATTGGAACGTGAGAAACATATTTAAATATTCTAAATAATGTAAATGATGTATATAATAACAAAACAAAACCATAAAGTACATTTACTCTCAGGCTCTGTTACCAGAAATTGCACTTAAATAAATGTTTAAACTTTGTCACAGATCTAAAAGATGTATTCATCTTTGTTGGGCGGTGGTGGCGAAGTCCATAGGGACTTGGCTTGGCAACTGGAAGGTCACCAGATCAAGTCCCGGCAAGACCAAGTGCTACCAAGGTGTCCCTGAGCAAGGCACCGTTCCCTACACTGCTCCCTGGGCGCCGTTCATAATGGCAGCCCACTGCTCCTAACACTAGGGCCCTTTCTCATGTCTTCAAATGTTCCTCCTCGACTCCCCTCCTCGACTCCTATCCTCGAGACTTTGTCCCGCCCACAGGAGATGCGAGCGGAGGAGCCGAGGAGGGGAACCGAGGAGAGAGGAAGGGAAGCAGCAGGCGGTTAGAGAAATGAGAACTCCTCTCCTCTGAGCGGTCATTTTAAAGAGACGTCCATTAATGATGACAGGAGGCACAGCAGCCCTCTGTCTGATGGACAGATGTGTTCATGACGACTTATATATTTACTTTTAATTCATTCACAGTGCGGTATAATGAGACAATAACAGGCTACAGATGCGGACATACGCACATACATATATGTATATATTTATATAAATATATACAATTTCAGAATCAAACAGAGCACTCTCATAATAACGTAACACTATCAGAGACTGGATATATCCCCCCCCCTCTCTGGTCGCTACAATGAGGGAAATAAATGACGGGCCAAAAGTTTTATTTACAAGTAAGCAGAGGACACCAAACCAACTGAGACCTGTCTGTCCGCTGCATCTACGCACACACTGCACCACACACACCTACACCACACACACACACACCTACACCACACACACGCACCTACAGCTCCTAAAGCATATAATCAGGCTACAGCCGTTGTGTATTTTATTATGTGAAGCACTAAATGGTTTTAGAAAAATATCGACTTTGTTTGTAGATATCTACTAAACTAAAGCAAATAAAGAGAGTAGGCCTGTTATACTGAGTGATATGATATATATTATACACACTGCTCTGCTTTCTGCACGGACCTCACAGCTGTTCTCACTGTAAACATCGCGTCGCGATGAAAGCAGTTAATAAAATAATATCCAGGGGATGCATGCAGAGCTGTCATTGGCTGAGATAAGTCCGGCCGTGCGTCTCGACTCTTTGAAACATCACTGTTCCCGGAAATGCATCCACGAAGGAGCCGTGGAGGACTGTGGAGGACCCATCAGTGTATCCTCGGTTATAGCTCCTCCAGAGAGCCTCCGAGACGTTCGATGCTCGGTCCTCGATGTGCATTTCGAGAAATGAGATGTCCTTCAACATGGCGCGCTAAAATTCATTTCCGGGTCACTACCGGAGGACCGAGGAGTCGAGGAGTCGAGGAGTCGAGGAGGGACATTTGAAGACATGAGAAAGGGCCCTGGATGGGTCAAATGTAGAGAAACTTTTGTCCGGCAGTGGCTCAGTCAGTAGGGTCTTGGACTGTGAGCCGTAGGGTCGCCGGTTCAAGTCCCCGACCAGACCTAAACTATGGGGTGTGGACTTCTACTTGGAGAGGTCCCAGTTCACCTCCTGCCCTGCCGTGGTGCCCTTGAGCAAGGCACCGGACACCCCCCCCACCCCCCTCACTCCCCTCACTCCCATTGCTCCCCGGGCGCTGTGCAATAGCTGCTAGTTAAAAGCAGAGAACAAATGTCACTGTTTGTTACTGCTGTGTGCTCTGCATGTGTGACCATTAAAGAGGGTTTCATCCCTCCCAATTCTATTACTGAACAGGCAATATCCTGCAAATACATTTTCTTAATGGTTAGGACCTTAACAAAAAAGAAATATATATATTAGCTATAATTAAGATGGCAAATCCTCTTTTATTTAGCCTAAAGCCGACATGTCCCCACAACGAAGCTGGGGATCCATTACTTGATAATGTAAAATTGATGGGGGTCATGTCACTGTATCATACACTGAGTCAATTATTGTGACAGGCCTTTTTACAGGCCATGATATATCAAGGTGTCGCAGAATAATTAGATAAAGGCACGAAGCTGTAATGCATCACTGTAATGCAAACACAGGAGGACATCTTCTCTGTTGAGTTATTCTAGCTCTGCAGTCCAGATTCCACAGAGGATATAAAGAACTAGGTACTAGCTCCGATCATAAAAAACACAGAGCATCTATAAAACTCCAAAGAGGGCTTATATGAGCCTGTGAACAAGAGTGTGTGTGTGTGTGTGTGTGTGTGTGTGTGTGTGTGTGTGTGTGTGTATTATAAACAGTGCAGGTGGAGAGGAGAGGGGAGGAAGTGCTGTTAAGTGCCCACTATTCAAATAACTTTTTGAGAAAACACACACACACGCATAGACCCATATTTCAGAAGTGATGTTACTTTGGCCGAGTCTGCACATTTCCACTGTGACTCAATAAAGCGGTCACAGACGCAGCATAAAAGCATGAAACAACATGTGTTGGTTAGCAAAGAAGTGATTCGCTAACAGCAGCACTTCCGGTATTTTAGTCGTGGTAATTAAAAAAGGACTACTGCAAAACTATAATTCTGGCGATTACACTTTCCAACAAGGTCAACAAGGTATAGAAAGTAAAGGTCTTGTATTTGAGCCAATGAAAACATTTCTTACATAAGGTAAAGAGTGACACAGATATACATTTCTCTTTTTAAATTACACCCTGGGACTTGCTTATATGTATTTTGGTCCTGTAAATGTGCTTTCTAGTTGACAACATTTTCTAGTATTTTGCTAGACATATTAAAAGGTGGTCGCTATGTTTATGCCATAAGTTTAATTGAGGTAAGGTATAGTAATTGGCTCCACATTTGTCACAATTCTTTACTGTGTTTGACCCCTGATCGACATTAGACTGTTCCATTAAACGACCTGCTGTAAGAATATCAATCTGCAGACTGTTTATCTGTGTCCATAATTAAGGGGAAATTCTCACCATGTATTCATGCAGCGCAATCTCTCTCTCCTCCGCTATCTGCCTCCTGCTGTGCTCCGACACCGGGTCCTTACCAACACGAACTTGCCTTTGAAATAACAAATAAACAGGAAAAAACATCAAAGATAAGACACATATGCAACTGGAAAGAAATCTAAAACGTACATGTGAGGTGCGTCTTAACTTCAATGTAGTTTGCCTTTTCTTTCCAGTTTAGAAAATGTTGAGGGAATATACAATCTTTTCACAAACACTTGATGAATGTTTCAAACGTCAATCTATTTTTCTCCCTAGAATGTCTCCAGCATAAAACCAAAAATAGCATCCTCTCCTACATTTGCTATCACTTGTAGACTATGTTAAGCTTTGTATGCTTTAACTTGAGTTAAGAAAACCCCACTTTAACCATTCACAGGGATTTCAATTAAAATGTCAATCTATTCACCATCTGACGTGGTTGGCCTGCTCCTCCTTCACGTGTTGTTGAACCTTTTTCCTGAAGAGGGCTTCCTTCATCTGCCTGTTCTGCAGACCAGCCATGCTGGCACACGACATGGCTGAAGTGAAGGGAAAACCAGTTAAATAAGACACACTATTTGTTATATGTGTATTTTCCCGTAATGCAATTGACCTGATTTACCATACTGTGCAAAATCAGAATAGAACAGGACAATAATACAGCTTTCCTGAGAGGAAATGCACGTCAAAAAGATTACAATCATCGGGTTTCATGTACCTTCCTTCAGGTCTTTAGAGCTGAGTTTATCAGTGTCTCTGATCAGCATCTTTGCCACGCCTGCAGGAGTGCAGACATCTACCGGAGGCTTCAGCCCAGCCTGAACACTCGCTTGATCTCTCAGTGTCTTGAAACAAACAGCATGAAATGAAAGGTAACATGCCACAGCAAGAAATGATCAGCAGTACACAAAAGTAAAGAGAATGGTTTGTTTCGCTCTGACGAATTATTCATTATTAGATAGGACAAAGACAAAGGAGGAACCAACACTACAAATCTTCCCAGTCTGATATTGGGGATTCTGTCTCCTCATCTAAACTAAATTACTAGAGGTACAGTCACATAACTAAACACATCTCACATTGTGCTTACATTTTTCATTTAAAAATGAATTAATTAACCCCTTAATGTCCTTCCACATTCAAATAAAGTGAATAGTTAAACTAACTATGAGATTGCTATTAAAACACATACACTACCTTTGATTTGTCAGTCGACCTGAGTTTGGTTTTACTTTGACGGGGCACTTGAGTGACAGGTGAAGGTCCTGTGTATCGAACTGCATCTCCATGACCCGCCTTCTTTCCCAACTCACTATCATGCAGAGAAAAGAGAACAGAAAAGGACGGCTAATGAAGTAAAGTTTTAATTATGTTGGAATTGCACACATTCGATTCATGAATAGAGAACACGGATTTGACTGCAAGTGGCATGTTTGCTGCTAATTTGAGGTTGCTAGTTGGAACATCTGAATGAACAAACAGTGGCACGGTAATTGGTTAATTTTTGTTTAGAGGTCCAGGATCTGTTCTCGTAGCAGAGAGAATGGCTCTACATTGAGTGTTTATATGATGATATATGGGCAGTGCGGGACGGCAGGGAGGCTGAGCAACGAGGTCAGAAGCCAGATGATTAATTTTCATTATATCTACATTTCTCCAGCTGTCATTTTTTGTGGTGGCGGATATTAATTAGAAAGACATCATAGTACACATTCAGCAGTATCTATGACCGCGGTGTTTAATGGCTGATTTGACACTTCTCTGACACAGGGTCAACACAGCTTCACATTTGACGCGTCACAAAGATTTACTACGTTTATTTAAGCGTTTATTGCAGGACATAAGATTGATTAGATTGATGCAACATAGTGATTTGAGGGATTAAAATCATCATGTGTTTATTGTACACAAGATAAGCCGGGCAGCAACACTAAGCAACGAGCGAGTATCAGGTGTTTGGTTCTAGCTGGAAAAACACTGGCTCTTGCAATTATTATTTTAATCTTACAATTGCAAATATCTTTTATTAGTTCCGCGGCGGAGAACAACAAACAGAGCGAGAATGTTTTATATGCTAAACATTCATCGGGAGGCATATCCATCTTGATATCACTGCAGCAGCTACCAAGCTATTTTCATGAATTATTAACTTTCGGCCGAGATAACACCAAGACAGTGCGCTGGATGGAGCCGCTGCTGTGTGATGGATGGCACCATCTTTCTCATGGGAACACAGTTAAACATTAGGTTCTACACTGGCTGGAAAAAACAACTAATGGGAAGTTGTAATCAGCACACAAGCCCATTTTCTCTGACTCTAAATGGACCACCTAGTTTAGTAATTACTTGCACGAACAACCTGAAAGCTGTGGTCATTACTGGACAGCGTGAGGAGAACGAAAAGGCTCCATCTAATAATTTTTATACTATCAGTCAGGATTTGTGATGCTTATCCAGACTAAATGAAGCTCCATGGGGAAGAACAGAGGACATAACATATTTCTATGCTATTAGAGAACAAATAAGTGGTGTTACTGAAGTTCTGTCAAACAGGTTTGTCTGATTGTACTTGAAGATAAACCCCAGGAGACAGGTGTGAACTCAACAGTTAGAGTATGAAATGTCACAGTCACATATGATAGCTAACAGAGAGAAAAAAACACATGTGTGATGGTGCAAGAAAAACACATTACCACCCCTTAAACAAATATATTCTGCTGGATCCTGTTCAGCTGATGTTAGTGTCCGTGTGTGCCTTTAAAGGGAAAGTTCACCAAAAAATCAAAGATGCATTGTTGATCCTCTTACCTGTATGACTGTACACTATGTTACATCGTAGGGAAGGCAGTCATATCTACAGCTAATGAGTACAACACTCTGCAACTCCGAAAACATATCTATATTTATAAAAACATCTAAGTATACGTATTTTTGTAATTAAAGGGATACTGTCCTATCAATGTAGTGCAGTGGGGAAACCATGAAGAACACCTCAAATCTGTTTTGTGTACCATTCACTCATTTTATAGTATTAAGCAATTCGACAAATAAAGATCTCCGGCTGGGTTTACCTGAGGGCCAAGTGAGGGGTGCAGCTCCCACTGATGGTGCAGAGGAAGGGTCTGCTGTTGAACTGAGAGATGATCAGCTGGAAGGTGACCTGACAAGTCTCGTATTGGAAAGGACTGAAGGTCACCATGATATTCTCTTCGCCATTGGCTGGTATCACACCTGGAGGAGCAAAGAAAAGACAATAGGGATGAGCGAGGGGTGCTTGTCACACTCATTTTCACACATGAACACAACCTGTTGCCATTCAGAGTGTGCTGCAACTAGATAGCTAAAAATAATGGATGTACGCTTTGTACTGCATGTACTTAGGCTGTAAGTGATGTATCATGGTTATGGTTTATTGTGTGTAGAGAGGACTGAGGACAAAAAAAGGACATCCAAAATAAGAAACTAATTTGTATCCGTTCTTCTCATTCCAGGTTTGTACTTAGGTAAACCTCCAGCTGTATTTCAAATCCTAAGTGCTGCTTTCCGCCGTGTGTTATGATGCTTCCCAGACCTTCAATACTGCTTAGTGTCATTGTGTGGAAACTACAGGCATCCTTCAAACTCTGTGGCGACTTGTTTAATACACAACCAGTCCAAGGTCTGAGAAAACACAGCACACCTGCTTTACAATGGCTGGCTCCATGAGAACCACAGATCCACATTCCCTGCTAGATAAAGGGAAAACATGCAGAATGCCATATTATTTGCCTTAAAAGACACAAATAATTGTGTAAATTATTTCACAGGTGTTTGTTAAAGTGTGGCATCCTTGCAGGGGGTCTTCAAAAGGTTTTCGTATGAATTGTAATGATAGAAAAATAGATTCATTTTTTATATAGTCTTGAAATCTGCAAATATGTGTGTCACTTTTATTCCAAGGCTAACTTGAGAGTCATCTGTATACGCTTAACACAGTGAGGGAACATCTGCCATAGAAGGTATATATATTTGATAAGTCCCTACCTGTAAGGGGCTGGATGGAGAAGGCCTCGTGGGACTGGATAACTTGTACCTGGAACTCAAAGTCGATGGGGCAGCTGCATCTCAGAGGAATAGCTTGGCAAACACTAGAGACAGGTGGGGAACAAAAGAGATGAGGATATTTTTGTTATGATCTGACACCAAAGGGTGAATGGAAGCATGGGCAGCTGTATGGAAGAATAGGAAGAGACAGGCCAGCCCGGGGGCAGATGGGAGGTCAGGAAACAGTCCGATGAAGATCCTAACACAAAAACTGTACGGCGTACGCACACACCTGTTTCCAAGTGGCACGGCTGACAGGTCGATGTGAGGAGGGATGCACAGGTCATCGATGACAGGGTAAGCATGAACTGGAATTAACAGGTTCTCCTCCCCCTTAGAACGGGTGTGGGTGGGTTGAATGCACAAGAAAGAGAAAACAGGAGAGAGTGTATGGAGATAAGACAGATAAGAGAGGTCTCAAAGTAAACATGGGGATGTTTCACCAAATAATAAAACAACTAGAGCTGAAACAATTAGTTGATTGACAGGAGAAAATGTGCTAACTATTTTGAACATTAGTATTTTTTGATGCAAAAACTACAGATATGGAGATTTTGGAGATGCTATTTTATGCACAATCATATTAAAATGAATAACTTTGAGTTTTTGGTTGACAAAACAAGACAATTTGGAGACCTGATCTTGGACATTTTCCCCAATTTCCGATCTACAAATATATTATTATTAGTTAGTTGTTTGACTGTTTGCTTTGAAGTTATTGTTAATGTCACTGCAAAGTTATTTGAGGATCGCTGTGATGTACAGCTTTTACTTAATGCCTAAAGTGTAAAGATGAGAGCGTCCTCAGTGGTGCACAAACAGCTGGATCCTCACCTTGCAGTGAACCCGAATGCAGTCATAGAAGTAGCGCCACTCGTCGGGACACAGCCTGACCTTCAGCGTGTAGGCGAGGCCCGGGATGAGTCGATACTTGAAGGAAAACAGATGGAACGGGCTGAATCATCAGAAACAACACTGATTTGCACTAATGGATGAGTGGAGTCATTCAGGTCAGCCATTTGTAATGAAAAAAACATACCTTTTTGGTGTAAGTTGTTTGGAAGTGCTTGGTTTGAGTGGGTATGACATGAATATTCATAACTTCAGATGAGATGTTGATTAGTTTCTGAGGGAGGAGAGAAAATAATTATTCATTCCCATCCAATCATGTGCACTTGAGAAAAACCATTTACATCCATTCTACAGGGCTTCGTCACGAACATATGAGGTACAATCAGTGCCCATTCAATTGAATAGCTGCTGAAGCTAGACCAAATTAAATCAAACGTTATACTTGTTGATGCATGGGACAGAGAAGGGGTGACATGAAACACATTTGTAGGAGGCAAAACAAGTTATGTAGACAGATAGAATAAATGCAGAAAAAACATTTAGCTAAAACACAACCTAAAGAGACGTCTTGTCATAACACCAATATCTACGTCCTGCTATATGTCCTGTATGCATTCAGCTACAAAGAGTACAAAGGCTTGGAAAAACCATAACGCCATCCATCAAGCACAAACGTTGCACCAAACTGCACAGACTTCCACTTCTCCCTGACCCAGGCTATTGTCCACACACACACATCAGTCACCAAGTGCTTCAAACATGATGATGCATAGAACTTCAGAAATACGTCCTGATTATTGCACTGGTACATCTTTATCTCTACGATGCTCTCTGAGTGTCTCTCGAGGGCCGGTTGAGAACCCGCGGTACTCTTGAGTGTTGGTTTCTAAGCTGACAGGAGTACTGTAAAAAGAATGTGATTACAGTCTTTCTGTGTCGAGTTAATATCATAACCAGCTCTGTAAATGCATCTAACACTGCCACTAAAGGAGCAGCTGCTTTAAAAAAAAGAAATCTCAACTATTCACTCACATATCAATATATATATACATTTAAATCACTTACAATCTGCAAATGAGCTGTTCAATGTAGCCTGTGAATGGGAGTGTGTATTTTCCTCACCAGGATCTTTACGTAATCCTTCCCCAGCTCAAACCCACTGAAGTGAAGCTCTGCGGGCTCTGCTTGGATCAGGCTGTTGCTTTTCAGTTTGGCATAGATTTCTATAAGAGGGAACAAGTAATTAGTGAAATGTAGTATGCTTTTTAGCAACAGGAAATGGCTTGAATGCAGGCTTTTTATACGTACTTGATTCGATAAGATGATTGGGAGCGTTTGCTTTGCTCCTGCTCTCCTCCACCAGCTGGCTCAGAGGCACAGGGGTCCCTCTCCTGAGGGGCTCCGGCAGTTTCTGGGGGCCAGAGAGGACCACCTCCATCCTGCAAGAGGTCAGGCCTGGCTCCTCATGAGAGAAATGACAGAAGGCTGGAGGACAGACAAGGAGACAGCAGATTGTTGGGCAATATTATGTTGGTAAAGCTATGAATAAATAATCTGAATACAAGAGGAAAGACATGGAAGGACAGCGGGTCATTATGTGTGTTAATGACAGAATTTAATTTACTTTCCAATAGGAAGATGCAAAAAGCATGCACGAGGGGCATCACATGTCATACTACTGTATACAGTAGTCTTAACACCCCTTTATTTTTAATCATGCTACTTTGTTGGAGCCTTATGCTAAATGCATCTATTTTTTTTCCTAAAGGTAAATACTGACAATGTTTCTCTCCCTCTCATACACAAACAAGATGCAAACACCTTTATTTTTACTTCAAAATCGCTGATGAATGTTATGATTTGACCGGCCACTCTGTGGATAAACATGTGTTTTGGTTGGTGAGTGAAGCAAAGCCACTTCTTTCCCTAGAATTAGATGGAGCTAATTACTGACAGTGCTTGGAAAACTTCAATGCAGCAGATATATTTATTTGTAAGCCTTAATTCCCAGATATGTGCCTGCTCGATACAGTGAGCTGTGCACCAGGTGTGTGCCTCCTCCAATCAGCTGAATTCATCACAGGTGCACCAATCAAGGTGACGCTACACCTCAAAGATAATTAAAGAAATTGGCGACACCTGAGCTACATTTCTCTTGAGAGTGTAGATTGATGAAATAAATATAAAATATAAAACCATAGATCTGCTAGATAGTATTAAATGTCAAAGGTTAAGTGGTCCTAAACGTCATAAACGCACGGTATTAGCATCACTTATAAGACAGTACATTATATTTTTGTACCGCTAAGTATTTTTTAGTTATCAATTCAAACTTTTTAATATAGCACTTTTGATACACAAATATAACTCAAAGTGCTTCACAAACAAACCACATAAACAAAACTCCTTGTGACAAGTTCAATTAAAAAATACAATGATTAGCGTTAGCTTACCTGTGGTCACCTGTTAGCTTAATTTAACCACTCAAACTCATGCTAGCGTTAATTTCAAAGCTTCATAGCAAGACTTTTATCCGCTTCTCATTAAAAAAACATTATGAACAATGTTACTTCAGAACTTACTTACGTTTTAGGCGAGGGTTTGCATGACGTTCTTGAGTTTAAAACCAATATATTCCGTCTATTTTCACAAAACAATTTTTTTTGCAGGAAACCAACCTCCACCCTCAAACACTGATGTTGCCATAGAGACCCGTGTTCTGAAGGGGGCGGGACTAACGGCCTGTGGGCGAAGCCGATTTGCCCCAAAGTATCACATTGTCCTGAGGAGAACTGTGCATAATTATCGACACTGAGTAGACCTATGTTTGATTTTCACATATCATATATCTGCTGCCAGCAGGATGCTTGCCTTTCATTCTAATCAGATATGAGGCTTGATGTTTGGATGTAGGTCCCTATCTTGATTGAAAAAAGGAACCTGCCAGAGACAATGAAAAAAGTCGGACTTATTGGAGTGCTACTGTTACCCCAGGTGAGAACATAAAAGTGTGTTTTAATCTATATATGTTAAGATTAAGTGAACTATTATACCTTTATTTGTAGGCGTCATCCTGGTGTCTTCCTCATGTTAATCTAATGAAAGAGGAGGAAAAGTGCCTGACAGATCTGCTGCTTTTTACACAACAAACAGGTGAGTTACATTCGTGTTACGCATGTTACACTTGTATCTCATAAAACATATTTTAATTAAGTAGGCCGTTTTCCATTGCAATAATGTTGATCTCTGGAATAAATAAAATCTCTAAATAAAGCACTTTTTAATTTAAAGAAATGTGAAGCAATGTTTCGGTGACACCCAGTGGTCACAAAACAAAAGGCACCCCGACATCTCATCCTTACATTAGGCAGAATTTATTGTACACGTGACTAAATGATCCAGATGCATCCAGTGTTTCAACCCTGCAAAAAAACACATCACATCAATGGATTAATTCTTATTATTGACTTTTTTTGTATTGAATTGCAGCAAATAAAATGTAATTTCTGTTCCAACTATGAAGAAAACAATATCAGTGTACATTGTAAGGGAATGTGGGATGAGCTGAACTGCTGGCCTCCTGCTTCTCTCGGAGAAACCGTCTCTCAGCCGTGTCCAGAGTTTTTCAGCTCGGAGGGTGAGAGACACACACACACACACACACACACACACACACACACACACACACACACACACACGTTTAAACAGACACACATTATCCATCCCACATCGGTTAACTGGTTAATTATTTACCAAAAAGCTGATCTGTTTTCATAAAGAACTCACATTTTCCCTCTCAGTGGTCTCTATGTACACAAGGATTTTATGGCTGACTGTTTGGTTAGCGACACACTAGAGTGCTAAGTATGTGTTAAAAGATGACGATGATAGATTTCATGATAATGTATCTGACGTTTATGAAGAGGAACTGTGTAATCTGTCAGCTTTTCACTTTCCAGTAAATCCGAGTTTGCACGAAAACAATCTGTAATCTTCCAGGACATATGTATTCTTCTGTCAGGCACATATTCCCTTTCAGACAACAGTAATGATGAATATGTGTATGCTCTTTTGCAGCTAAAGTGCATCGTAACTGCACGGCCAGTGGCTGGACGGACCCTCTGGTCCCACATGAAGACGCATGCGGCTACACCTTCAATGAGACTCTCCACTTCCTTGGAGAGGTTGGTGGAAACTAATATTTACACAGTGTGTTTAGTTTATTTAATATATAGTTATGAAGCCACTACTTGTACATTTTAACTGGCTCAGAATAACAGGGTTTCAGTTTCATCTGTGTTCAGATCTGCTATACCTGAAAATGAATTGAAAAGTTAAGACCGCTGTTTACCAAAATGATATGCCCAAACTCTTGAAATAAACTATATTAATTGAACACCTGATGCCCTCAAGAACTCTCTCTTTGAACATTAGACTGCCCACATTTAACATGACATGACAAAGTGATGTTTTTTCCTTGTTCAGTCCTCAGACTCCCATTTGTATTTCTCCTACGTGAAGACCATGTACACGGTGGGATACGCACTCTCCCTCATCTCCCTCTCCATCGCCGTCACCATCTTCTGTCTGTTCAGGTGAGAAACATCTGAATATCTTCATCCTTTCTTCAACCAGAAAAGTGTTATCCTGAAACTGTGAGTGTTACCGTTCCTTCAGCAAGCTGCACTGCACCAGGAACCACATTCACATCCAGCTGTTTGTCTCCTTCATCCTGAGAGCCATCTTCATCTTCATCAGAGACTCCCTGCTGTTTCACAATGAGGAGCTCTACCACTGTGATGCCTACCCGGTACGATGCGGCCCCTTTAATCTCCTACATCTGGGGTGTCCAAACTTTTTTCACCGAGGGCCTCATACAGAAAAATATACGAAGGGCTGGGCCACTCACTAGATATATATTGCCTCATAAGTTAAGTTATAAGTTAGCAAAATTAATCAAATGAAGTTATGCTTAATACTTGAACATGCTTTCACAGCTCTCTATAGGGTTTCATGTATTTTGTTAGCAGCTCATTCCTTAAAACAGAAGCCTCAGATTGCTGATAATTAGGGGAAATATGAAGGGTTTATTTCAAGCGTGTTATACAAAGAAGTTATTGGGCTTTTTTCTTATCAACTTAGATTTGATAGAAAATGTTTTCAACTTGAATTGACTGAATTTGTTTGAAAAGTGGGCTTCTTAACACGTGAATACTGTGTAATATCTGCTTTCATCCAAATTGAAGAAGTACAATACAAGACAAGCATACTCCATTATACTTTTAGAATTAGCTGAGGGCCGAATCAAAATGGCCTCCGCATTTGGACACCCCTGTCCTACATTATACAGGAAGGACAGAGTGTTTTCACACACCTTTCCTGTGCGGCAGGTGGTGTGTAAGGTGGTGCTGATGTTTTCCAACTACTCCATCCTGGCCAACTACAGCTGGCTTCTGGCGGAGGGTCACTTCCTGTTTACTCTGGTGAGCCGCTCCTTCTTCTCCCTGAAGAAACACCTGGCCTGGTACATCACCCTGAGCTGGGGTAGGTCACATGATCACATCAATCAACCTCAGTATAGCTGTATTCACATTGACTAGTATTTATTCATTTGTATTATTATTGCAACCAGTCATACCAACACTAATTACACTGTAATCTGAGTTTTTCCATTTTAACTGTATTGTAATATTATATTTGAACTGTACTAGGTATTATTTTATTGACCTGTACTTAAGTCATGTTTTATAATTGTCTGTGTGATAGAGATGATGCAATGTTTGTAGTGTTCTCTTTTCTGAGATGAATCTATTTGTATGCATGGTTCAGGTTTACCTCTGATTGTCATCGTCTCCTGGGGATGTGCCAAGTACTTTTATGAAGACGAAGGGTACGTGGGGTTAAAATCTGAATCACTCGTTCATTTATTTTGTCGTTATCAGAGGGTATGATTGTATTTCTTATTTTATCGCCACAGCTGTTGGGAAACCAGGAGGCATGAGTGGATTTGGTGGATACTTCGAGTGCCAGTTCTTCTGACTATATCTGTAAAAACCTCTCTTTTACTTGCATATCATTCTCTGTTAAAACCTCATTAAAACTAGTAGTAATATAATAGTAGTTCCAGGTTTTGGGGAGTACACTTTTCCACCAAATGTTAGATGAGAATTGCTTCATTTTCAGAATATAAACATAAATGAATGGGATGAACATGACATGTAAAGTTGAGGACAGCAGTTGTTGACATAGGAACAAACAGTGTATTTGAGGAATGGTATTTTGACTAAGATTACATAATAAAGATTGTGCCTATTTGCAAAGAAAGCAAAACAATTATTTCTTTAATAAAAGTATTCCACATATATTATAACAATCGTTTTTTTTTATAATTCCAGATGAACCTTGTCTTTTTCTTGGGCATTTTGAGGATCCTGGTGAACAAGCTCAGGATGCCAGATGCACAGAGGAATGAATTCAGCCAGTATAAGTGAGTACTAGAAAGACAAGGTCAACTTAACTATGTGCATTTAAAAATAAAAAAAGGAATAGTTTCGGCGAAAACTAAAAGGTACCATGGGGTCAGATTATCATTTTCCAAAGGGGGGGTTCGTTTAGCATGAAATAACTAAAGGAGAAGTTAAACAAGAAAGTAGAAAGAAAGTGAGGTCATAGAAAACTATTGCTGCTAAAAAGTGAGCAATGATTGAGTCGAAACATTTCAGATGTGTGTATCTCACACTGCTGTCACTTTTATTCATGTATCTTTGCTTTTAAATTAGTGTTTCTTAATGTCTTTCATTTGTGTAAAGCACTTTGAATTGCCTTGTGTTGAAATGTGCTATATAAGTAAACTTGCCTTGCCTTGCTAGTGTATAGTCATACTTTATGTAAAGCTGATTACACTATTAGTTTACTTGGGGAAAAGCAGTGTATTTGAGGAGTGGTATCTTGCATAATATAACATAATAAAGATTGTGTCTATTTGCTTATTTGATTAAAAGTGCACACACAAGGACAGAAAGTAAATCTTAAGGCATGATACAAAATGTTGATGCCTGGAAACGTATTTGTATTATTAATTAGCGTAAAACATACTTTCTTTTTCTTTCAGGAGGCTGATCAAATCCACCTTCTTCCTGGTGGCTCTGTTCGGTCTGCACTACATACTGTTTGTGTTCCTACCTGTGGAAGTCAGCAGCTCCGTGTTTCAGATCTGGACCTTTGCAGAGCTGGCTCTGTCCTCCACTCAGGTACACTCGGTGCATTCATGACAAGAAGAACAATGAAAACATTCAACTCACAACCTTGTCAATTAGCATGCAAGATATGATTGGATGTGATGTAGCTTCTTGTCGACCAGCTTTGTAATACACTATTAACACCTTTTCAGAATCACAATCACAATAGCAGAAGAACAATTAAGCTTGAATTGCACGAGGGTATATTGCAGGTTTTATAATGACATTTTCACACGTCCATTTAAATTAATTATGTTGCTTTGAGTTTTCTATTTCGAATTATTGTTTACTATCTTTAAATGTATATTTTTGTATGTTATTAATGTATGTATTATTGTTTTTTAATTTAGAATTTATTGTATTTACTTAATTAGTTTCTTCTGGGGGGTTATACTTAAGCAATAGCTCACGACAGGCCGTGGTATACGCTCATTATATCACGGCTAAGAACCAATCAGATTGCTTGATTAGACTTGTCCGTTTTATAAAATGGTGTAATGTCTTTTGCTGAAGAAAACAACTCACCAAATCTCCTCTGTTTAAGGGCTTTGTGGTCTCGGTGCTCTACTGCTTCATGAACGGGGAGGTAAGGCCTTCATTCAAACTGAAACATCTGCAACAGGAGCGACCTACCCGTTATTGATCGTGTTTCCTCCAGGTTCAGCATGAGATCCAGAGGAGGTGGAGGAGGTGGAGGCTGACCCAGCACCTCCCCAGCAGGAGGAGGCAGCACCACGGCTCCATCAGCCACAGCGGCTCCCCCCACACACAGGTAGGTAGATCGATCAATAGATAGATCGGTACTTTATTGATTGGTACAACAAATCACCTCTGGCCGGAAGAGAACTGCTTAATCTGTGCTGTCCTGTTTTTCATCCTTACCCTGTTGCTGTTAAACCACTACATTTCCCCACGGGGATTAATAAAGCTCCATCTTATCTTATGTATATATAATATCCTGCTTTATAAGTTGTCACTGTCAATTTGTAATTCAACTTTAATGCTATTTTATTGCTATTGAGATGTTGACATTTGTATTTCTTTTAATTTGTATTGTATAATGCCATGTCTTTTGATGCTGCTGCAACACAAACATTTCCCAACGTGGGATCAATAAAGTACTTCTTGTCTTCTCTCAGGTCTCCCTGCTGCCCTGCCCCCCCGCTGGCCCCGTGGACACCGTGGAGATGTGACTTCAGCTCAAATCCGCTCGTTTCCTCTCTCCACCCGTCGATACCCGATTGATCCTGGATCAGTTTAGCTGAGAGTCGATCAGGACACGACTGTAGAGTGAGGGTTCCTGATGCCTGGAGTGATTTTATTTGAAGACATAAGGATGTAGAATGCACTAAGGAGGCCCAGTTAGTCATATCAAACTTAATTTGTATTGAAATACCAATTTATGACCATTAAAGAGATCATTTGGATGCTTTTTAAATTGGGGTTGTTATCCATAGTCGGTGTGTTACCTACAGAGGGTTGCAGTCTGCAGAAATAGACAATAATATCAGCACTGTAGCTAAGCAAAACTTATATTAAGACATATAAAAGAAAGACCAACTTAAAAGTAATTCAAGCTTCATTGTACGTGTCTATATTTAGAATATTGTGAGATTTACCTTGTTTTCAGAGAGCCCTTTCCGACGGGGAACTAAAGCTTTCTTCAAATCCACCAGACTCCTTTGACAAAAATAATAATTTTGACCTCAAAGAGTACACTGTTGTTACCCTGCCTTCATGAGTTACTTTCCTTTTGATATTTAGTGAATACTTGTTGGATATTTGGCCTAAGGCTTTCAGGCCCAAAGAACAAGTCTTTATTTTTGATACCAGTCTTGTGAACCAATGCTTTTTATTTTAACATTTTGATATGAAAATGTACATTGTGTTTGCACTTCAAAAGAATAGCAATCGAAACAGAAGGCGATAAAACTGATCACATGCTGACCCATCGCTTCATTAAGAGCAATCAGAACATTCTCCAGTGTTTTACATTTGGTCTAACGCAGGAGTTAAATAGCAAAGCGTACAGCAGCAGGTGATATCTGTTCTACATGAAGTCCAATGTGTTGTCTATTGAACAAAGTGAGAAATGTGATGTTGGAAATAATACAGAAGGTGTGAGACTCTAGATCCCATATTTGATCTTCAGGTCCTCCACCAATTCGATATATGCCACCATCGCCTCTTCTTTGCTCAGGCCTGTTGTTTAAAAAAGGAGATAAGCAAACCGTGTGACAGTAGAATAAATATCAGTTTTCCAATTACTCTTTCATGGTTTTCTTTTAAGTTCTTTAATGCTGTGTGAAGACCTTACCTTTTCTTCGTTCCCATGCATCCCATTTCCCCCGTCCTGCGAGGTCAAATATCGACGGACGACCTGAGGACGTGAAAGAAAGTAAATGAATTAAATAACTGAAAGAAAAATGTACTTAAAGTATCAACAGTAAAAGTACTCAGTGCAGAAAAATCGCCCACATGAAATAATCATTATCATATACCACAATTTAAAAAAAAATCTACTTTTCTCAAACACTTATAGGCTTAACAATTGTATTTAAACTTTAATGTAATAAAACAAGTTGCCCTTTAACCCCATGACCTAATAGTTACAAATGCATGGTATGTAAAAAATGTGCAGATAGTGGTTTGGGGTTTTAGTTCCTAGCTGAACAAGTTGAAATAAAAGCTCTTTCTACTAACACATAATACTTTTTTCTCACACATTTTGTACACACACTTGTTCATATCCTTGTTACTAAGCACTTCAGTTGCATATGTATAACATGGGTGTGCAGTGGTGCTGGTCACAATAAAAAAAACTCTCAATTAACAACTTTCTATCAGTTTTGGCATCTTTCACAGAAAGACACCCAACTTGTCCGACCGGATTCTAGTCTCACCGCGCCCTGCAGGTACCTGCCCACTGCTGGGTAACTGAGCACATCGCAGTCTTTCTTAAGGTGTTTCCATATTCATTCTACGATGTTAGAAACCTTACACTCACCTATGTTAACATCTCCGACTGTGGCTTGTTTATATAAACCGTAAAGCTCCCCCAGATCGCCGTAGCCTGGTTTCTGTTTCAGATTCTTCACCTCCTCTACGGCTTTTTCAAAGGACTCCTGGAAGGGGAGAACACACAGAAACTCAAACTCTCTCATATTTAAAATACACATCTATGATATAGCTTTAAAAACACCCATAGCTGGTACAAGTTCCCTGTGGATAACACAACTTAACGGTACAGTAAATCCTTTGTGTCCAGTACTTACATTCATGACTGCTGTGTGAAAGTGACACACCTTTCTGCTGCTCCTTCACTCTCTGCTGGTTAAACAAGTCCTGAAAGCAGGTCATCAAGTCAGGGAGGAGCTTTCTTAACGACACACAGAGTAAACACTGCAGGAGAATAACGGCTAATGAAAGTAAGGAAAAGTATACTTTCAGATCCGTTTTTTATCATAGTTTGTTAAACATATCTTAAAATCTAAATATGTGATACTGGATGTATTGCACAGTAATCCTTCGCATAGTACCTATAATTAATATAGGTTGATAAAGTAATATTCACACAAACAAATGCAGTTGACAGATAACAGTCTGCAATACAAAATATATATATTTATAATAAAAGCTCAAGCCTGACAAAGAAACTCTAATATTTTGGAGAATGTAAAAACGTCTGTGACCAGATGTAATCCTTTGTTTACGAGACACCTGTTGTCTAATGTTTCATGTGACTTATCAACTTGTTTAAAACAGTACAGAATAAAATACAAATATCACTTTTAAGTATTTTTTTCCTCCTAAATACACATTTATGTCAAAGGAAATGTTTCTAGCTTTGGGAGAAGAGGGGAAGTTTCTCCGCCACAAGATGGCAGCGTCCACTTATTTAATGATTCAGATTTACCTGGTTTAGAGTTTGGGCGGTGGTGGCGAAGTCCATAGGGACTTGGATTGACAACTTGAAGGTCACCAGTTCAAGTCAAGTGCTACCGAGCTGCCAAATAAAAAAACCTTTTAGTGGATTTTCTATATCAGTCTTATCTTTAAACAAAGTATTTTAAAGATTAGATGTAGTTGTGTTTCACTTCAGCCTTTCACTCAATTAAGAACTCCTCACATGAAGCATCTACAAATGAATCTCCCATATTTTAAACATAAATACAAAAGTGAAACAACATTTTGTAGAAAAAAGTATTTATTCTATGTTCTAGAAATGTCCATTTGAATTATTTACATTCACACCTATGTGATAGAATAACGTACATTTCAGTTCACTACTATAATGACATTTTAACTTAGATTCAGAAGACATGTAACACAGAATCATCTTTGGCTAGAACACTAATACAATATAAACTCAGAACAAAGAAAGCTGAACAAACCACAGCAGAAAACTGATTTCAATGAAACTGTAAAAAAGTTTGGTAACAGCCGTTTCATATTTTAGGACAATTGTGTTTTGATTGGTGTTTATCAGCAGGTCAGTTCAACACTTTAAATAAAGACAGAAAATAAATGTAATATGCACATCAGTGGAAGTGTGTAACCACTTTCTGTACTCGACAAAGCAAGCGAGGCGCTTCAGTTTCCAGTTGGCACAGAGAATCAGAAAACATTACCTGAGTAAGAGACTGAAGAAACATTATAAAAAGAAGGGGTGGCTTTTGTGTAACAATGATAATATGATCAGTTCTGGACGCACATTATCCATCAGTGAAGTCACACACTTCTGGAGTTAGTCGACTGTAACCATGACACATGACGCTTTCTTTGCAGAGACCACTTTGCACATTTCAAAAGGCACTATGCAGCTTTTTCTGCAACCAACCAGGTGTTCATGAGGTTCAGGCTTCATCCAAACCACAATCCTTTCTAAACAGTCCCACAAAGTTTAAATACATATATTATCTAATTCTCAATGATGTCACATCGAAAAACATCGTAACAATGTTGGGACAAACGTCTTTGCAGCAGTGTTGAAGTGCAAAGAGAAAAGGTAAGGGGAGGTCTACTTCTGATGATCAGATGATTTCAAAGACTCTTAAATATATCCTGTTGCACTGCTTCAGCTCAGCTCAGCTCAGCTCCAGAAGTATAACAGAGACTGTTTTGCATAAGTTAAACGTGTGCTGCTCTTCTACTCTGTGTTGAAGCTTAACACAACACAATAAATTAAGGCTAAATACTCATTAGTGATGTAGCATAGTGCAATAAGTTTGATTACCAAAGCTCTCCTTCTATCTTTATCAGGACCTATCAGGTTATTTTGTGAAAAAGAAGCTCACACATCCTTGAAATCTCTCAGTGAGCCTCAGAGAGGAGCCTTCCCTATAACTATTTTACCTCCCGAGTTCACGCATAATGCTTGTACACCCTTTAGTCTCTACTACAGCTTCTGGGTCTCTCTCACACGTTGCTGGCGTCCTCCAGCCCGTTGCGGCAGTCGTCTTCGGGCAGTCTGAAGCGGATGTGTCGGGTTTTCTCCCAGCCGCGGCGGATCTGTTGGAGGCGCAGGGCCACGCAGGGCACGCAGAGAGCCAGGCGGCCCAGCAGAGCCACGCAGGGCAGAACCAGAACCAGCATGAAGGTGGGCGGCAGCAGGAAGCGGTACCGGGCCGGGTCGAAGGCTCTGCCCCAGCCGTAGAGCAGAGTGTGGACGGTGGCCATGGACAGGGCGCAGTACCCCACTGTGGACTGCAGGGGGGAGACAATGTAAATAGGTTAAGAGTGTACATCCAGATAAACTTAATATCTTTCACAAAAGACACTGCAACTAAGGCATGCAAGGAACAATAACCTACAAACCAAAGACAGACAGGGTTCAATTATAAAAAAAAGAAATGTCAAGGTACCACCTTAAATGTAAAAATCTAATACAATGATGATAATAAAACTGATATTTCCCTTTTAAGTGACTTATTATACCGGTTCATTACATTAACTCATGTCTCACAGGCTGCTGCGGACCCCGAGGAAACACACTGACCCACCACTCATGACCTGAGTAAACCCCACTGGTGTGTGTGTGTGTGTGTGTGTGTGTGTGTGTGTGTGTGTGTGTGTGTGTGTGTGTGCTATTTACTGTGCCAACTGATTAAAAAGCTTCCTAAGAATGAGTCTGGTGGAGGCCAGCGGTTCAGGGTGGCATCATTCTTCCCAGATGATAATTATTTCCACTTGACAAGTGATGAATTCTTGCTACAGTGCTTTCAAATGACTGAAGGGGAACAGAGGAGTTTTTTAAAAAAGGAATGAGAAGATGTTTCCTCGTGTCTGGTCTTAATGTGTCCTTGTTGATGCTGTAAATGGAGCTGATGGTGATGCACGCACAATTTTAGACTTGATGTGGCAATAAAGTATGATCGTATCGTAAATAATCACTAATTAAAATGCCATGTTGTCTGCAGTTTTCACCACCACATTAATGCCTAATAAAGAGAGATGTTTGCCATTACATGTCCACACAACACAAACACAACCCTAAGCAAAACAATTATGTTATTTGGTCTTCTGTCATTTGTTCACAGTGAAACTGAACAAAACTAAAGAGACAACGGCATTCATTTGACTCTGATTCAGACGAGTCGGGGGCTTTTACATCAACCGCAGGAAGGCTCTTCTGTGCGTCAACATGTGCAATCCCTACGCTTTAATGCCTCGAATAGACAAAATAAATGTCTATCATGGGCACAACAAATGGAGAGTGTCTCGTTGTATTCAAAGTGGTTATATCTGTGTTAAAAAAAGTCAAATAAATTCTGTACATCCTCCTGTTAAAGCAGTTTTGCTGAACCCACAGTGTCCAGCTGTTTCAGGACAATTCCCAGTGCCCCGTCTTAAAGATGTGTGTCATCAGAAGGACTTGTTGGTCTTTTTGAGGATTTTCTATAAGATTTTACTTATGACTAACCTTGGTTATCATAGGATGGCAAAAAGTGGTATTTTAAGCGACCAATATCTGGGCTGTTTTATTTATCTTGGAACACAGTTATGTTTCAATGCCATTCCTTGAGAGATAAAGAGAATCAGACTATGACTCAACCTTTTCTCATTGCTTGTATGTCCATTATAAACAAGTATGCGTCCTCTTCCCGGTGGACACAGACAGCGTCCTGCAGCTGTGAGAGAAGGTCTGGATGTTCAGGGCAAAAAGTTTCTCTTCATCGCTCCGGCTCTCGGCACATGACTAATCTGACGGCCACCGGATTAGCTGAACGGAAAGATGAAAGGGGAAAAGCAGTCGGACCAAGAGTCATGGGGGAAAAGAGGCCACCATGGGGGGGGGAAGTGAAGGAGGACAGGAAGTGTGTGTGTGTGAACTGAGTCACGACTCTCCTGATGTCTGTGTCACAGCCTGAGTTTAGCGCCAAATCTGGGGCAGCAGCAGGAGTGCAAACGCAGTGATTGTATGAGCCATGTGAGCATGTAGAGACATGGAGTGCATCTGTCTGTATCAGCGTGACGCCTGTGGGTGTGTGTGTGTGTGTGTCAAGTGTCTGTCAATCCTCACCCATCATTGTGTATTAATCCCATCTGTCTGTATGCAGCTGAATGTTTTTTTCAAGTGGTCTTTTTTTAGCGATGCATCGATTGTACATGTATTCTACACTATAGCTACCGTGCATATGACAATAAAGCCTTTGAACCTCAGGGACAACTATACCATTCTCCTTCCTGTGTGTGAGTACCTGTATGAAGGTGAACTCCCTCCAGTTGACAGAGTTGGCGACGGAGGGCAGCGAGGTGACGGCCAGCAGAGAGAGCAGTCCGAGCGCCATGATGCCCGCGGAGACGTACAGCTCCATCCTCCACACCTCCTCCTCCACCCACACCTCGTCCCCCTCCTTCATCTGGACACCACAGGACAGACAGCACTCTTCATCTTGAATTAATTCACCCGATGTACTGCAGCTAGTTCTAAGTGTAGTAAATGATTATATAGCAAACGTCCAGTACAACAAATGCCACTTCTGCCAATTCAGTCGGCTTAAATCACACTAGTCATGATCAGTCATCATGATTTTATACATTTATATATATCATTTGTATGCTATTACTAAAGTGTCTTCTCTATATTAAATTGTGACTGTACAGCACTTTGGTCTGGAGGTTTTAAAGTGCTTTCTAAATAAAGTATTCTGATTGGGATTCCTCTCACCTGTCTAACCGCGAGGAGCAGTTTAAAGCGTGCAGACTTCCTCATGGGGAGGCTCAGACTGTAGATGGCGTGTAAAGCTGCACACAGGAAGCTGCACAGTCCAAACTGCTTCCTTCTCGCCAGCCACCGGTCCAGCCAATTAGGGAAGCGGTTGTATTTGGTGCCGAACCACAGCTGGAAGAAGGC